CTTCTTGAATCTTAATTGTACTTTAATTCTCAAAGCCTAATGAATGGAGTATATATATATATGCTGAATTAAAATTTATTTAAAAACAGCAGTACTCCTTCACCCCAAATGTAACTTTTTGTTGGTCTGCAAGTGAAGTTTTAATGCTTTGTGCTGCAAGGGCCATGGTATTTTCCCCAGGAGATTTAGGGATTTGCTATCCCAGTCTGATCTGTTGATTGGCTTTTCTTTTTCTTTTTTCCTCCCCCTGTGATACAGTGCAAAGCAGGTGTTTTGAGGTGTTTTGTTTGTTTGTTTTTTCCCTGAGGTTTTGGGAAGAGTGACTCCAAGGGGAGAGCTGAGTTTTTAGTGTACTATACTATTATTTTCCTTCTTATCATTCTCCTTTGTTTTATAGAGAACTTCTTGTAATGTCAGGTTGTCTTGAATAGATTAGCTTTTTATCCTTTCTGATCCTTGGAATCCTCTTAATTATTAGCAAAGCTAGGTAAATGAGAAGAAATTAAAAAGATTTAAGAAATTAAAAAGGCAAGAATGCCAAGAAGATACTTAACTAAATGTAGAGTACCCGTATTTGCCTCTTTCCACCCACCTGCCGAAGAGCCTTGTCACAGTCATTAAAAATGGCCATTGCATTGTCATCACTGAATTCCTTGGGACAAATGTTTTTTCCTCTGTTCCTCAGATAGTTGCTCAAAGGTACAAGTCTGCAGGAAAGTTGCTGTAGCTGTTTGCAGATGACTGGATGAAGGACGAGTCGTAGATGTAAGGATGAAAGTGGATTTTGACTTGCTGGAGGAATAGATATAATCCAGGCAGCAGCAATCTGTATCAGGAGACTTAGAAAAAATAGTAGACTCTAGTACTTGTGTTTAAAAATCCTCTCTGTGCAAAGCTTGAAGGAAGAGTAGTCTTGTGGTTGACAAGTGCATTCTTTATATCTGAAAAGAAGCGCATGTGCTTGTGCATCAGCAGGCTGAGGGCACGAGTGATCTTGCAGAATAATCCCATCTGAGAAAGCTGGGTCGGCCGCAAGCTTCCTGTGCAGCTGTGAGCCAGGGACTCGCGCTCCTGGGCCCGTACGATAGGGTCACGGGTAGGGGGGAGGTGGGCAGTTCAGGTTTTAGTGAAGTCTTGTTCAGTTGTAGCCATGTCAGGGGTGTTGGGATGATGAGGGAACAAAGACTCAGTTCCCTGTTCGGAGTTCTGTAGCTGTTTGTAAACAGAAACCTGCGGGAAGACAAAAGCTTGCCTGTCTGTTGGAGGACCAAGGTGCTTTCTTGTGACGTATATCTGCTGTGCTGTCTGCTTGCTAGGCCTCTTCCCTTTCCCTTTGCTGGGCTTTCTCAGGATCTTTACAGAAGTTTCTTCCAATTTGCATGTTAGGGCTTTGTTGTCAGTCTGTGCACTTACCTAAATTTAGGGAAGACAGCTTCAAAACTGTTAATTCTGTTTTTCGATGTGATGTTGCCATTCTGCAGCCTCTCTGGTCTTACTTGTCCTAGCTGGAATGATGACATTCAACGGGACTCTACCAGAACTTTGTGCTCTGTTCTGCCACAAACGAGTTAAAATTTATATTCACACAGAAATCCATTCTGTTTACTCTCTGAATCTTTCTCCCTCCCTTCTATTCTCTTTTGTTCATTTAAAATTTGCTGGTAGTGCTGTCTTCTATCCTCCCACTGTCTTGTGGATCAGGAAAACTTTTTGCAAAGTGAAGGTATAGTACTTGAAGGCGATGGCTAAAATGACCAGTAGATAACTATTCTCTTCTCACTTAAAAGTACATTGTTTTTCCATCTGTTTGATTTGCTGCACATTCAGTCCCTGGCTGGCATGGCTTTTTTGTCAGTAGAAGGAGAGCCCTGTAGATTATTAAATTTTGTGTGGATTTTTCAGTAACAATATAACTTGGTTGGTTTTCTCATTTTCAGTCATTTATTTTTAGAATTTAAAAATTTGCTACATAAAATCACTTTCAAAAACCTGACTCCTAAACAAACTAGTGATCAAAACATTAAAGAATGCCATATGGTTCCTACCAGTCTTGATGCTGTTATATTTCTGAAGAGTATATTCTGTGTTATTAATAATATTCAATGAAACACTCTCAGAGTGGGAAAATATTTACTGAAGTTACTGTGAAATATAATTTTCATAGCATTCTTACCCAAGATGTTCTAGTCAAAATACTGTGATTGTATCTTTTGGATTAATCCTTGTACACAATGGGTTAGAAGATGATGGATGCTGGGACAGATATTAGTTACATGGGGAAGAAGATGCAACAGCTCAAGCGTTTAAAGATTAGCCATATAACAATTTTTCATATACCCACTATTTATACAATGTTCAAAATTGAAGTCCCATTCTGATAGAAGAGGGAAACTAAATGTAAAAAGAATGAATACTAATTACTCTAAAAGCCTTTGGTATAATTTATATTAAATCAGATGGTTCAGAGCTCTTATGTAGGCATAAGGGATATGGCTGCATTGTTTAAATCAAGATAATTGCAATTCATACTTGCAAAGAAGTTGTCCTAATACCCAAGTGGTTAAAATGTGAGTTTTATCTTGTCATGTCATGGGGACAGGGGAGAAAATGTATTCTTCAGAATTCAATGCTGTAGAGCTCTGACACAGCTAGTAACCAAGTTGCTATTTTTGGTAGGACAGAGGAACGACACTGAAACCTCAGTTATGTCCCCTTGACATAGGTGGGTCCCTGCGCAAGTTCTGGAGTCTTTGTTGTCAAAGCAAGGGGAGGCATAAAGAAAATAAAAGCACAGATGATGCCTGATTTAATTTACTCATTAGAAGCACATGTTTTAGAGATATAGAAGCCAAAAATGAGCAAATGTACGAACAGCAAACCTGCAGTCCTTCCAACTGTCAGGTGGAAGTGGCTGACTGAACCGAAAATTGCAGGAGCTAACTAGACAGCTGCTGGTTTTTGGTTCATGTTGCTTTTGATGGTAGCAGGTAAGGGCAAGAAAATGTGTTTTCAAGTTTGACTGTTCTAACAACTTAATTAGGACTTTCTCTAGTCTCTTGACAGTTAATTTTTATTTATTTTTTTTGTTTTTTAAATCAGATTGTCCTTGAAGAAACTGGAGGAAAAAAGCAGTCTGTGTGTATGTACTGGCATCACTTTGATTAACTTCTGACCTTGAATACCTGAATATTTAAAGTTCCAAGATTTTTATGCAACCCTTTCTCCCTAAGTGAAATCAGAGATCCTTGTAGATAGTATCCCATAGAAATGACATTTAAAAGAGACACACACACACAAACCTTATGTGTGTTTGGGATTTTAATGATGGTATTTTTAGACTTCTCTATCCCTGAACTGTGTAAGGGTTAGGTTATTTTAATGGGCTGTTGTTTTTAGAAGTATCCACGGCTTGTTCTGTCAGCTGTTATGTGTATGTTGGATCAGTAAGAAACAATTAATTTATCATACATGTGAATGTTAGAGTCTCTTTTCTGTTATTAGCCTTGCATCAGTTTGCAAATCTGTTACCAGTACTTAAATAAATTCTGAATTATAATTAAATAATTTAAGGGTACTGGATAGATACATCAATGCCTGACTAATTTTAAAGGGATGATGCTGTGCTTTCAGTTGAGTTTTAAAAGACTGTGATTTCACTGGAGCTCTTCTAGTGGGAATAAAATGCAGACCTGCAAAAAAGTACTTCAGATTCCTAGAGAAGATACTCCTGATCATAAATTGAGTGCCCCTAGAGAAATTTGAGGTTCTTCTGAAATAAAATGTTCTTTTCAAATATTGGTCCTTGAGAAGGTTGCTGTATATTAGTAGCACTAGCCCAAACACCAAAGGGATGACAAAACCAAAACATGTTAAACTTTCAACTTTCTCATAATGAACATGAGCTGATCTTCCTAATTTACAGATATTAATATAGCAAAAAATAGTTGCCTGATAAAATGATTTTGAGCTGGTAGCCTGCTGGCAGAGCTTATTTTCATTACTTGAAAGGAAAGCTTCTGTCAGCTAGCCTAGCTGATTAGAATGGCTTGTTTTTAAATGTGAAAGCTGGTTGGTCAAATCAAAGTCTGAGTAGTGGTGAATTTCTTTTTAAGCATTGTCAGTTTTGCAGTCCTTTACCTTCTGCAAAGGATGAGCATGGGCAGCTGCAGTACAGTTATCTCCCAACCCACCTTTCTTCAGTTTCAGAATTTAAGTTGAAGACATCATTGTAGGGCCTGTAGTTATTTTCTGTCCCTGTATTTCTTTGCTCCCAGGTCTTTTATGCCTTTGAGGTTGTTATCCTAATCTTTAGGGTCCCTTGTTTTAATCACAAAGTCCCTTTCCAATTCCCACCTCTCTTCCCCTTGGTCTAGAAGCTCAGGCCTCTCAGCAATTTCTGCTGTGGTTGTGGACTGCTTAGAAAATCACATTTCAAGACAAGATTGAAGAATCTCTTGAAGGCCATCATGAGGCTTTGGCAATTAATTTGGTTTGATAATTAAAAAACCCCATATATATATATATATGTGGCTGTATTATTTAATTATTAAATCATGGCTATCCTTTGGTATAGTAGGGAATACTGGAAATAAAGCAGTTAGCCTTGGGGGGGAAGGCTACTTGAAAGAAAAGACTTGCAAATGCTAGCACTTAATTACTACAGTAACTTTGGATTATAAAATATTTTCTGTCCTAAACGTGAAATATGTTTATTGCACAATATTAAAGCTGCTGTTGGGAGAACTTTACAGAATTGTTAATAAAGCACATTTTTATTGATGCTACCATGTACCAGTAGTCTAGACAAATGGCCTTCCCATCCTGATACCGCATTTGTTGCTCAGGAATGTCACTTATAAAAAAGAAGCTGTCTTTGTCCTTGATGACTGGCATTGCAGGTCTGTTCCTATGTGGTACCTTAACCATGTTGTGTTTATTTGTTCACAGGGTAGCTCTAGTTCCTTGAGAGCGCACCAGATATTGGATGCCTGTGGTAAACCATGGCAGCTGATGATAAGGTTGCCATTCTAACTGATGATGAAGAAGAACAGAAGAGAAAGTATGTGCTTGCTGATCCTTTCAATGGCATTTCCAAGGATCAAGACTTGCCACCCCAGAATGAATCCCCTTCGACAGAGACAACCACTGTCCCAGATGAAGAGCTGGATTGGTTAGAGAAGCACTGCGTCAAAATAAACAACGATCTTCTGATCTCAAAGGTCTTTTATTTTTTCTTCTATTCTGCTTATGGCTCTCTCTACCCCTTGCTGCCTGTGTATTACAAGCAGCTAGGTATGTCACCCAGTCAGAGTGGACTTCTGGTGGGCATCAGATATTTTATTGAGTTTTGCAGTGCTCCCTTCTGGGGAGTGGTGGCAGATCGCTTCAAGAAAGGGAAGATCGTCCTCCTCTTTTCGCTTTTATGCTGGGTTTTGTTTAACCTGGGGATTGGATTTGTTAGACCAGCCACCTTAAGATGCGTTCCAAAGGGCCTTCCCCCAGCACATCCCACCAATGCAAGCAGCCTTTTAACAACAATTTCGCAAAATGCCTCAATGTCTTCTCTGCTAACCACAGTGAATACTGCATCCCCACAAGTTCGTGGGAAGAGAGACCTGCTCACTTCCAGTCCAGTCACTTTGGAAACAACAGGGACAGCTAATCCAGAAATAACATTCCCGTTACCTACACAGAGCAATGATGTGGAGTTTGTCTTGGAAAACAGTACCCATTTCATTCTGACAAACACCACCGCTAGCCCACTCTTACCAGGGAACATGACTCCCAGTACCACCCCAGCTGCCATCACCACAAAGCCGATGCCTTCTGACCAAGCTGTGCTCGTTTATGATCAACAAGAAGTAGAAGCCATCTTTCTACTCATTCTGCTGGTTGTCATAATAGGTGAATTTTTCAGTGCTTCCTCCGTTACTATTGTGGACACTGTAACGCTGCAGTACCTCGGCAAACACAGAGACCGCTATGGGTTGCAGCGTATGTGGGGGTCTCTGGGCTGGGGGCTGGCCATGCTCTCTGTGGGAATTGGCATTGACTACACCCATACAGAAGTTGTCATGGAAGGTCAAGGATGTAAAGCTCCTGAGTACAAGAACTACAGGATAGTTTTCATTGTTTTTGGTGTTCTGATGACGATGGCATTAATTGTGGCCACCCAGTTTCGATTTCATTATGCGCACTTCAAGCAAGACGAAAATAAGAGAAAAGAGGTAGAAATCTCACAGGTGGACAGAAATGCCTCCAATGAATCCTCCGATAACACTCCCACTAGTATGAGCCAGTCGCAGTCTTTCAGTTTTTGGGACCTAATAAAACTGCTGTGTAGTATCCAGTATGGCTCAGTGCTCTTCGTGGCGTGGTTCATGGGGTTTGGATATGGCTTTGTGTTCACCTTTCTTTACTGGCACTTGGAAGACCTGAATGGCACCACCACTCTCTTTGGAGTTTGTTCTGTGCTCAGTCACGTGTCTGAGCTGACTGCCTACTTCTTCAGCCACAAATTGATTGAATTGGTTGGTCATATCAGGTAAGATGTTAGCAATAATTGAAAAGCTATACAAAAAATGTTGAATTTCAGGACTTTGTGTTAGAAAGTGAAATTCAAGTTAATCCTTTTCACTGTGAGGGTGGTCAGACACTGGAACAGGTTGCCCAAGGAAGTTATGGATGCCCCCTCCCTGGAAGTGTTCAAGGCCAGGCTGGATGAGGCTTTGAGCAACCTGATCTAGTGGAAGGTGTCCCTGCTGATGGCAGAGGGGTTGGAACTAGATGATCTTTGAGGTCCCTTCCAATCCAAACCGTTCTATGATTTTAAAATTCTGAGTCCTGCTCAGTTATGTAGCTTGCCTGATGGAGTTTCTTATTATTATTTTAGGGGCTGGAAATGCTTCCTTTGCTCTTTAGTTGCGTGTTAGTATGTGCATTATGCCTGGCACTGTAGTTTTGCAGACAGTTCTAGAAGACATCTTAGTTCACTGACACGAAACTCTTACAGATCTTTACAAATCTCCACCCACTCAAGGATTGTCTGTTTTGACATATAAATACCATTAATTTTACAATTTTTTCCCTGATGAGTAGCAGCATTCTGAAAACCTGCTTTAGCCTGCTTCTCCTTGTGGGGCAGTTCTTTGGCCCCATAGTAGCCTGGAAAAGTGTCACTTGCATGCTGAGAGGGGAGGAGGATGAGATGAAGAAGCGAGGTGAGCACCTCCTGTATCCGTGCTGTCGTAATCGGACTCTGGGTGTTGGCAGAATGAGGTTGCAGCCTGGTAGTGTCACTTACTACTTCAGTTCCTTGCTTTCTTCTTTAGTTGCAGCTGCGTGTGTCAGCTACTGAAGTGAGATGGCTGTGCAGGGCTTCTCCTGTAGTGTTTTGCCTTGTGGAAGGGAAGCTCATTACTTCCAGCATGTTAGTATTGTTTTCCACTAAATTCACAATTGACTTCATTTCTGCATATTCTAAATCCCTTCACTACTCTTTAAAAACAACTTAGGGGAGGAGAGATGGCAGGAGAATCCGAGTTAATGAAGACGTAAAGATGTTTTTTTGTATTTACTCAGGTACTGTGTGTAACTGAGCACAGAGATCTGTGTGCTGTCAGCATCATGTCCTTTCCAAATGTCCTGTTTATAATCATACAGTCATTGAGTTGCAAGTATTTTTAAAATGTCTGCACTGTTCCTTTTGTGCATTCCGTACTGTGGTTTTGATCTTTGGTTTGTTTTGTTTTGCTTTTATTGGGATGAATTTTTTGATTCATTTGACCTCTACTGAAAATGTTTGAGATGCTTAGCATGGCAATTTGAGAGATTACTTAGAAGATGGGGTTTTTTCTTCCTTTAAACTGAGGAGGATCTCTTTACTTTGAGCCAGTCATTTAATCTCTAAATTTGACAATAATTAGTATGACAATATAAGACACCTTGCGTGCAAAGATTAGAGGAGGGATATGGTGATGGAGGAGTGGTGAGAACAGATCACAATCTTGATAGCTAAATGTAGCTTGGTTATGCTCTTTCAATGTATATTTTTATAGTACAAAATTCACGCTTTGCCTTCAACTAGAGGAAGAACGAAAAACAAAAGAATGGTAGGCTTGTGAAGAAGATGAAATAGAAGGAGCACTGGCCAGTAAAAAGATGATGTACAGGATGAACTCATCTTTTTTTTTTTTTCTTTGCACTTTTAAGCCCATGAAGCCAAGATTGGATCAAGATTAAGTTGTTTAAACACAAGCTCCTATTTACAATGAAACAACATTCTTTGTACCTACACCTGGGAAATGCACATTAGTCATATGTTAATGTTATCTAATACTTAACTTGTAATTAGTCATCACAGTTTGAGATGTCTCCTTCTGGTTGCCTTTCTTCTTGTACTTTTTGAATTTTGTATAATGCATGGTTTGTTCAAAGAGGAGGCGAAACTATTGCAGATGTTAGAAGGGCATTTTTTTAAATGTCTCCTCCAGCCACCATCTGAGAGATTACAGAGTAGATTTTCCTTTAAAAGTAAACTAAAGAGTTAAAAAGAAATAAGTTAATCAGAAAGTGTGGTGAAGGCCACAAGTTCTTTGAGAAGATGCTGTGATGGAAAAGCGTACAAAACTGGCTATCAAATATTTAGACACCGTTGTTGAGTGGTATCCTGTGTAGAAGCACTCCTAACTGCCATTTAGTTTACAAAGATGATGTTAATCTCTGAAAATAACCCCCTACTTTGAGGTTAAGCTTGAATGTGTTTGTCTGACCATAATTCCAGCATGTGAGTTTTTATAGGAAGCAGAGACTGGTAGTCATGGCTGTAAACAGCTTAGTCTCCTTAACATAAATATAGATTCAGTGCCTTAAATGTTTAACCTGTAAATTGAATATGGTGTCTCTGTGGATACTGCATATGGGGTTCATAAGGAACATCTGTTTACATTATCCATTTGGGTTTGATAAAGAGCCTAAGTGATTATTCTAAGTACATTTTTGAGAAGACTCTGCAAATACACAAAAGTTCTCCTGTGATGTACCCCTCTGAAAACATAATTATAGAAATCTTCATAAGGTGTAATCTAACTAAAACTCTGTACATATTCTAAAAAAATTAGAAGGTAGAACCTGACTAAATTGCTGCTCTTAAACTCTGAATCCAAATCTTTCCACAAGTGTAACATGGTGGGAAAGCACAGGTAGCTGAATGTGTTAGTGGTGATGGAAAAACTGAAGCAGGAGGAGACCTTTCCACATCTCTGGCTGGCTGTGATAGGGAACAGCTGAGGTGAGAAGTTGGTTCTTGGTGTACAGGCAACGTTTTTGCTAGGCAAAAGTGAAATTAGGCTGGCAAGAACTGTTCCTAAGCAGAGAGCTGGGCGCATCTGTACTGCTCGTGAGGAGGAACAAGTATACGGTGAGGTGATTGATTCCTTTGTATCCCCAAGAGTGTGCATCACCCTGGGCCTTACTAGTAGGGGAATGAAGCAAGGAGCCTGCAGACCTTTTATATTTGCTTAGCTTTTGTGGCAAATGTGTCCTGATACACATTAGAAATGCGATTGTACATAAGAATTACATTAAGTTGTGGCTTTGAAAGGAACTAAGTTTTTTGTTTGGAACAGTGGGAATAATTAAAGGGGGAGATGAAATTAATGATGCGTGACGCGAAGAACAAGTTTGTTATCTTTATTGTAGAATACTGAACTTTTTCATGGCTTCCCGTCTTGGGCTTGTGTTGCTGAAAGGCAGCTTAAACCACCTATCCATGGACCTTACATGTATCTGAAAGCAACACAGCATAGTCTGATGTGTGATTTGGGGGTGGGGAGAACTTCCTGCAAGCTTACCCAACTTGCTGAAAGTAAAATATATTGTCTTCTGTAAATCCGTGGTGTTGTGAAAAACACAGACCTGTCTTTATAACTTTGAATGTATTTTATCACCAACATGATGGAAACTCTGGTACTGGTATTTTAGCTGTCAATGTGTATATTCAGAGGCGTCAAATGTTAACAAGATGCCACATTTTTATGATTGCATCTCACTCTAGATTTTTTTGGTGGCTGTGTACCATTTAATTAAATCTCAGTGTGCTTTTGTAGAATAACAAATTAAAAAAATGCACAAAGAATGATGAACCCTTTCACAGTGTCTGTGCTTACACCTTAATTGTTTTACTTGTGCCAAACCAGGTGTCAACCGAGAAGTCATGTTTGGACAATAAATAATCCGTGTCCTGGAAAAAATTACTTTAAAGATTGCAATAGCATCTTTTTTTCAAGCTCAAAACCTGTTTTGAATTAAGTCTTTGTTTCCTAAGATCCATCTAAAAATAAGAGAAAGATAGGTGGATGAATAAGCACCCCAGATGTAAACTAAGCTAAATCTGAAAACTGGAAGGGAAAAGTTATCAGGTTAAATGTGCAAAGGGAAATGCACTGCAGAAATAGTCTTTGCACTTCATTGTTCAAAAACTGTTGTAAGAGCTTTTTTCCCTCTCCGTTCTGAGATGCAGCATCTGCTGCTTTTTAACAGGATGGTTAAGTTTTATCCTGAGGCATGTTTTCATAAACCATATTGCTTCTGTGGGATGTGTTTTTAGAGTAGTTCTGAGCAGTTTGCAGATACTGGGACTATAAACTTATATTAATTGGAGTAAAATTAATTCATCTAATACAAACCTGCACCAGGCTTACATTAAAATGGGAGAATGAATCTCTGAATGATTAGAAAATAAGATTACTTGGAAGGGATGTTGAATGTGCTTAGAAATAGGTTCTCTGAAATACAACCCTGTGTAGAGCATGGCATGAAACTACAAAGTTTAGGTAAAAGCTCAGTGGATCTGCTGTCCCTTTGAATTTTTTTTTTCCCCATTAGGAATTTGAAGAAAGCTTTAACTTAAGCCTCAGTTTGAATATATGTTTGAAGTGGACAAGAGGAGAGTTTATGTTTGGGTGCAGGACTTAAAGAATATATTTTGTGTTGAGCGAATGCTTTAGACTGGCAAACTGTACACATGCCAATGATTTCCAAAGCAGTAAGGTATATTATAACATACCAAAAAAGGAAAGTGCAGACTGCCTGATTTCTCTTCTCCTTATTTCCTTTAGAGTGCTTTATATTGGTCTTGCCTGTAATACAGCTCGATACATTTACATCTCGTATCTGGAAAACGCCTGGACTGTTCTTCCGATGGAAGTACTTCAAGGTAAGACAGTGCAGTAATGCCCCTCCACTATAACATCAGGTGCTTACATATATCTTGTTTTCAAGTCAACTGTGGCTAAGTAAAAATGTTATTTATCTATTTTTTTGACCTCAAATATCCCAGAATTCCCAGGTTCATAAAACATTACTGTTTATCTTGGGAAATATTTGACGTCAAAAGGGTGGGTTAGCATTTGATTGTGCACAGTTCTCTGTTTATTCAAACAGAACTGTGCGAGACTAACACACCCTTTAACTAAACAAAGAGACAGAAGCACGAGCTGGGTACACACCTACTGTAAATCCTGTTTGGTGGTAAATGTGAACTTCATTAAATGTGAAAGGTCACAGTTCTTGAAAGGATGCAGTAAAAAAAACCCAACACACACACAAAAAAAAACAACCCAAAACCCCCCATAGTCTGGGTCATTCTGTCTCTGTTGAATATTTTGTAGTTTTTCAGTGGTATTGTTCAATCAATACCTTTAGACTGTAGAATTTTCTTTTTTTCATAGCTGGGGAGGAATTTCTTTCAATAGCTTTGTGCTCATAGAGCTTCTTTAAGACACTTGCCCTTTAAATAATTTAATTAGAAGGACAAAGATGTGATCTATGAAAAGTAATTTGAGCCCCGTTTTCAAGTTGTATTGTCAAAGAAGTCTGTAAGACTTTCATTGCAATGTTAAAGTATAAATTGTTTTATTTTAAATTTTGTGACATTCTTTAGGGCCTTTGTTGTGGGTACCACTTGTCAAAACCAGTACAATACTCCACATATTATACTTAGAAGTTTTATTCTTCAGTGGGTACCACTTGTCAAAACCAGTACAATAGTACTAAAAAAATTTTCCACATATTATACTTAGAAGTTTTATTCTTCTATGTGCAACGTAACTTGAATTTGCACTCACATTTTTATTATATTTACAGAAACCTTTGTAAGGTAGATTTTAACTTGAGTTATAAAATGCCATTGGAGACAACTGTGTCAATCTCTACACAGATGTAGAAAGAAATGTGTTTATGTCCTGACTCCTTCCCTCCCTGCTAACAAAAAGAGGTTTTGTATTAAAATTGCCAGAACGGCAAGCTTCTGAATTTTGTTATTAAAAAACCCCTGAACCACAACTATTGCATTGCTACTTCATTCGTACCAAGTGTTAAATATGAAAATATTGCAAAGAACCTGAAGAATGTATATATTTCATACTCTTGCCTGCTTAAACATCTAGGGGGAACAACCAACGAATACAAAGTTTTGGATATTACTTTCTAGGTAATCCTGTTTCAAAGACACTTCAACTCAAAATTTAGGAAAAAAAACTTGTGTCTCAACAATACAGCCGTAAGTTTGTGCCCAGAAGCATCCTATAGTCATGGCTGAGAAAAAAGTTTCTTTTACGTTGAATCTCTTTTTTTATTCTGCTGAAATTTCAATATGAATTGCTTAATACGTAGTTTTACAGCGAGGCTCTGAGGGAGCCGTTTTGTATGTTTTTTGAGTGGTGTAATCTTGAGTAATCGAGATTTAAAGAAAAAACTAAGGACCTTCAGTAATAAATAATACTTCCCCATAAATTTATCTGCCAGACTTTCTCCATATCTAGACACTGCTGAGTCATGTACACTTGGGTTAATCTTGCTATTTGCAGTTATTTATAGTCAGCAAATGAGAAAGTTCAAACCAAACCAAACACACACACATACACTCCTCTCCCCCCCAAAAGCCTCTTTGTGTTCTACGTGCACTTTTCAGCCTGCATCTGACATGGTTTATTAGTGTCTGTGCAGTCCATAGCTGCACTGTACGTGTGTCTAATTACTGCCACTACAGTAGTTATCTTCCAGTAACCTCATTCAGTGTTGTGGAATGGGAGACCAAGTTTTATCTTTTTAGAAGTACTGTTGACTTCCCCCCCCCTCTTTTTTTTTCTTTTCCCCTCCTTGCTCTTACCACTTTTAACCTCTTCCTGATTCATTATTTCTTTTGCAGCAGTTGCCAAATCCTGTAACTTTGGGCTCTGCCTTCTTTCCTACGCATCCACTGAATCTCTCCATAGGGATAAGAGGTGACACCTTAATGAAATTTGGTGAGGTGGAAGCTCTTTTTTTTTTTTTTTTAAGAGAGTTTGTTGGCAGAGGGAGGTAAGAGTTGTAGCTGCTTTGCATATGTAAGGTTAGGAGTATTTAAAAACAAAAAAAGAGTAGATTGTGCAGAACACATGGGTACTGTGTGGGCCACATGGCTGCGTCAAGTTGATAGGTCTTTTAAATCCCTTGGTGAAGTCCTTGTTATAATTGTACATAACTTTTTCCAGGAAGCTGTCAAATTCTGTGTAAATTCTAGTTCCATCAGCTGGAGAGGTTTTAAAGTCAACAGTTTCAGCTGACCTTTGTAAATAATTTATTTTTCTTTTTAATACATTTCTGCAATGCAAGAAGGACTATCCCCATGTGCTGCGCTGAAGGGCATGGAGAGATTTCTGGAAGATGTTTCTGCAATCTGCATCTATTGATTGTAATAAGAACCATGCCGTGTTTCAGTTGCTGTCTGAAACTGGGGTGGGGAGGACTCTTTAAGTGGGTTGCACTCTGAAAGGAGCAAATGAGGAGATTTAAACTCACTTCTTAATTTAGAGTTTTGACCTTATAATGCTGTATTGACCTGCACGTGCAATGTCTGAAAGTAAGAGCTTAGACTGAATCTTTAATAACTGAAAATTTCAAGGCATCCTCATAGGCAAATGTGTATATTGTGTATATATGTCATCAGTCTGCAAACACACAAGCAATCTTGTTCATTTTGCACTTAACAGATTAAATTTGGATATGCTAGTTAGCTGCAACTTATTGTTCCAAAGCAATGATCCCAATTCTCTGGTAACAGCTATGCTAGCTCACCAATTTGTGTAACAGCAATTTTCTAAATTACAAAACTATATTGATAACCTCAAACTTTCCTATTTTCACTTGGCAGTTACCCAACAAATGCCAAAACAAGTACTATTCTAAGAAGTGACTCCTACTGATGCTGCAGCAACACCATTATGTCTAGAGAGCGAAAAAGCTTGAGTCTAACTGGCGATAATTAGGATATATCTCTCTTTAAATAAATTTGATTCCCCAAATCTTCAGCTCTTGGTTTATATATAAATTGCCCTAAGTTTGCTAAACATTATTATTCTAAGCATAACACTGGGGTTATTACACTTATTGGAACAGTAGTCCAGATGATGAAATGGTGGTTAATGATTTTAGCAAATAAAGTCACAATATATATTTTGCAAACAGTTTATTTTTAAAAAAATTGTGGTTGGCAGTTATTCAGACCAGACTTCTTATAAAAGTTGTAAAAACTGTTCCAAATAGTTACTGTTGTGTTAATAATTACAATAAAAATCACATTAGTAATGTACACATACTAAAAAAATTTTAAAAGTCCTTGTTCATTTAAAGGCAAGTGAAATAAGCTGGTTTAAAGGTATGGATTTGTTTTCAGAGGAACTGGAAACACTGTGTTCTGTCTGGATTGCCTAGTAAAGGTGAACACATTCAAGAACCTGTTGGTTAAGTTATGGCCTTTTGTTTTCAAACAAATACAGTGGTGTTGTGCTTCACGGTTCAGATAATTTCTGATGTGTTTTTGATTTGCCTGGCTTTAAAACTTGACTTACTCTTTAACAGCTGATAAAACGGAATGTTTTACATTAATTGATATCCTTTCTAAAACAAAAACCACGTGATGTATATTATATCAGCTTTGCCTTTTTATTGGGACTATTCTTGGTTGCTAGTTTCAATGCATACATAGTTCTGCATTTTGAAAAAGTAGATATTCAGTCAGTTTTAAAACTCTGAGCTTTTCAGATGGAAAATCTGTGTGTTTTAATGCCTTAAACTGTAAATGGCAAGGTAAGAAGATGATGTACCATTACCAAAACCAGCTCTGCAATGTATAAACATGGCCCCTTTCCAAAACCAAGACTTGAGAAGTTTCTATGTAGATCTGTAATTAAATTGAACTGTACAACCTCGTGGACATCTAACATGTCTGTACCTGAACTGTATCAGTTCTGTACAGTGCCATTTATCATTTTACAGCTAAGCAAAATCCAAGTTATTCTATCAGTACGTTACAAAATCATGCGTTTACTTGCTCTTATGAATCTTCAGCCTAAGTGCCTAAGTAATTATTGAGTGGCCAACTGTTCATTAGTAAGTCAAGTGTAGAAGACAAACATGTTGACTGAATCATCAGTTGTGCTGACATTTTTTTAAAACCAAGGCAGTAGAGCTTAGGCATTGGTAAGCTGTGATGACTATTTTTAATACCACTCAAATAAGAAAAAAATATTCCCACTCAATCTGAAGGTGGCAAAATAGTTCAGGCTTATTTAATGTGGGATGAGCTGCAAAACTGTTTTGTTTTTCCAACTTCTGTGCAACCCTGCCTTTTCCTGTCCTGTCCTTCCCCACTCCACAAAAACCCCCCACCAAGCAGGTGCTCAAAGGCGAGGGCTCCACCTGCAGCCTGTTTCTGCACGCCGGTGGTCATTCTCCTTGCTGTCCTCCTGCGGTAGGAAAAGATGTTCATAACCCTGAATCTACAAGGCACTTGCCAGATAGAGACTTCCAGAATCTCTGTTAGGGAGCTGGGGCTGTCATGGATACGTGGCCGTTGTTTATAGCAGTGAGGACCTCAGTCCCGGGATCTGGAGTGGGTGACACTGGAGGCGGCAGCAGCGTGCGGCAGTGCCTACGCAGGATGCAGTCATAGCAGGAGGAAGGGCGTGCTGACTCTGCCTCCAAACAGCAGGCGTGAAAATCGGCATCTTTGGTCTGCCCTGAGGAGCCTGTGTGTTTTTTCCATCCAGACCGTTCAGCGCTAAATGCGGAGCGTGTTGGTGTTGAGTTCAGGAAGAGTTTGCTTGGAGGCGGTTGGTTTTTGGGGAGAGTGAGAAGGGCAGGAGGGGATTAATTCTTGCCTCTGAAATTACATTGATATCTCTGATATTGCTTGGATTTTGTGACCTTTGCACTGCCTTCATTGTGGCAGTAAGGAGACTGCTGAGAGGCATCAATGCTTTAATTCCCTGCAGCTTATGAAAGCAGAACCGTATTTCAGATGCCCTGGGACAAGAAATCTGGCAGAGAGGCGTTTCAGGCACTTGATTTTATCTTCCCTGGGACTGTGTCTCAAGAAGAGAAGTGAGGTCATCTTAGAGGGAGAAAGAGCTATTGACAGACTCTGGAGCAGAAGGAGTCGTCATGTCTCCCTGTGGCCTGGCTGCCAGTATCACATTACCAAAAGCTGGTTTGTACTTCCCAGGCATTTGCCAGTGAAGGGATGTTGTTGTTTTTCTCCAACGCATGCTCCAGCTGATGAGTGCAGTTGCTCTGATGTTGTGTTAGTATGCCCTGGACCCTGTACTCTTCACAATGTCTCATCTCTCTAGGTGTCACACATGCGGCTATATGGGCAGCTTGTATATCGTACCTTAGCGCAGCAGTGCCTCCGGAGCTGAGAACGTCAGCCCAGGGAATCCTGCAAGGTCTCCACTTGGGTCTGGGCAGAGGATGCGGGGCTATGGTTGGAGGGGTTCTGGTCAATTACTTCGGTAAGCAAAAAGTGTATTGAAGATTTTTATTTTATGTATTGAAGTTCTGGTTTTCCTGAACTACCAGCTTTAAACTTATTTATGCTTAAGGTATTGGTATGTTTTAAAGAGTAATACACTTTGTATAAATCATGGAATCATAGAACTGCTCAGGCTGGGAGGGACATCAGGAGATCTCCAGTCCAGGCCCCTGATCAAAGCAAGGTCAGCACTGAATTTGGACCAGGTTGCTTATGGCTTTGTCCTGTCAGCGTTTCAGATTGGTTAAATATGCTATGCCTAGATATTTTTAGTACTGTGTGAGCAAATCTCCAACCTGATCTATAAGTAAGATGAATTAATCCTTTGTGAGAGAACAGGTTGATAGTATGCAGCCTCTTGATGAACAAATGAGAATCTAATTACTTGGTTGAAAATCCTTTGCAAAGCCTGTTGAAGAAGTGTTGGAGGAGGAAAATGTAATGAAACAAGCTAATAAGAGTCTGCATGGGACAGTATATACTCAAGGAGTGCATAATGCTGACTCGTTTTATCAAGTAGATCCTCAATTTAGAAAAAAATTACATCTCATTACAGGTCCTGCTGCCACATTCAGAGGAATAGGAATGGCTTGTTTAGTGATTCTTCTTCTGTTTGCACTGATCCAGTGGCTGTTGGTTCGTGATGAAGAAGAAGGTAAATATTCATGTCACTGAGATACTGCAAAGTTAGAGTTAGTGATTAAAAGGTATCTCAGAAGCTGCTCCCTGCAGCTTTAATTTTGTATGTTTGGTGTCTTTACTCAGATTTTGACAAAACGGTTTGTTTTCTAGTGAGAAGCTTTTTCCTGAGCAATGTTAGAAATGGAAGTGGTGTGATGATGCTGTAAGAAGGGCAGCATTGAGCTCTAGGATATCAACAGAAGGAAAGCATAACATATTTTACTACCTGTATGTCTTCTCAGTCCCAGGAGTCCCTTAGGTTAGTCTTAAGAGCTATAGTGAGTCATTTCAGTTGCATCAGTTCTTTAAGGTCACTTTGACCACTGCTTTGCTCTCATATTCTACCAATGCAAGCCACTTCTGCCAGAAATTGGAGAGATTGCTTCAGAGGACACAGACATTTATAGCTGCCTCAGTTCTGTTCTGGCACCTGAGAAATCTCCCCTCAGGTGGAACTTGAACTTCTTAATCTCCACTTTTATTAATATAAAGGCTAACTAAAAATTAAATACTTTGTACAAAGTTAAGGGTTTAGCATAAGTACAGTTCTTACAAAGACAAAAAAACTGTGTCAAATTCTGAAAAGGCATGAATTTTTGAGCTGCTTTTTATCCAAATGTTACTTTCCACTATAAGCTTTGGGTATGAAATGAAAGTTAGTTTTCTTTAGCTGGAATATTAAATTAATTGTCCTTGACTAGTTATCAAGTTGCCTGTACTGAAGTGTTCAAATATTTATTTTGGTAGATTTTTCTTCACCTCTGTTCATATAATAGTGGCAAAACATGGAAAGGTGAAAAGGATATTTTCTGCTTCAGTTTCCCATCAGCTTTTGGTGAATTACATGTGAACCTACGAAATAATAGTTTGGTCTTAGTGGCTTTATTCTATTTAGTTTGTTTCAGTCTTTGGTTTTCATTTAATACACAGTACCCATCTTCAGAGTGTGTATCTTAATTTTAAGCATAGCAGTAATTAGGTTGCTTTCAACAAGACCAGTTGGATGAGTAAAACTAAGCATGTGGTCAAATGTGTGCAGGATTAGTCTCTTAATTTCTTCATCACTAGAGAACATCCAGCCATTGCTTAAAATATCCAATACTATCTAAGAGTCTGCAAACAAAATAGGATTTTACAATTTTGAAAAAAAAAAACCCAAAAAACCAATCTTTTTAATTGGTAAAATACTTCTACTCAGGAAAAAATATTTTCTCAAAATTTACAGTATGTGTTATTTATAGATTCACAGGCGACATACAGCTATTACTTCAAATACCCAACAGTTTCTAACAGTCGGTTTAATTACTTTTTGTATATACATACTCTGGCTTGTCAAGATTCTAAGGCACATTGTGTTGCATCATTACAGTCATTTTATGGGTGACATTTCAAGACAGCTATGAAAACTATTTCAGATTATGAAAAGACCTTAGATGTAAAGATCTGTTGGGAGGATTTCTTTTTTCACCTGAAACTCTGCAACAGATATTTTGTCTCTTCCAGTGTGTCACTAACCTTGTTCTTTTCTCACTAACTGTGTAACTTCATTTCAGTTACTATGGAGGGATGGTTTGTTTCTTAAATAAAATGATGTGGATGAAAAAGAAGGTGAAGACATAGAACAACTTAATTTAAATCATATCAGTAGTTTAGAAACTTTAAGATCAGAAATAGCTGTTCTGATGATGTAGGCCGTGGGACTTCACCAAATAGTTCCTGTTTGAAGCCAGCGTTTAGTTTTGAGTACAAGTGAGTTGTAAGATGCAGGCTTGATGCAGAGAAATAAGTTTGCTACAGGTCTACAAGACTTACTTTCAGTTTGCATGTAACATGAAAATGACTTAAATTTCCATGTAACATGAAAATAGGTTATTTCTAATAGCTAGCTGGGAACAAATGAACCACTTCATACTCATTTGCCCCTCCTGTTTATGCAGCCATCTTAAAATGCCTCACTGCAGTTGCAGAACAGCCTTGCTTGTAAGGACAACATCCACGTCGTGTTTTCCTGACTAGATTGTGGCGTGTCTCACTCCTGGCTGTGCCAGTGTTCTGCTTGCAGTACAGTGATAACCATGTTATGAAAGCAAGAAACACTTTGTGTTCATTGTTTGCTTCACTTTTTTTTTTTTTTTTAAGCTTGTTGGCTTTTGCCAGTGACTATTTTGTTTTAAACTTCAGAAAAGACAATGCTGGCAGAAAGGATCCCAGTGCCTTCCAGTCCTGTTCCCATAGCAACTATTGACCTTGTACAACAGCAATCAGAAGATATCATGCCTCGCACTGAGCCCAGACTCCCTCTAAAGAAAACTAAACACCAAGAAGAGCAAGAGGATGTGAACAAGCCTGCCTGGGGCATCAGCTCTTCTCCTTGGGTCACCTTAGCTTATGCTGTCTACCAGATAAAAGAGATGGTTAAACTATCCAAAACCAACCCAACTCCAGAGAATCAGCCTTTGCAGGTAATCTTCTAATGTACAGAGGAAGTTCTTAAGTATTTGTTAGATGCTTGAAGACCTTTATGGCTATGTAAATCTGTTAGTACCTGGCAGGTATTCTCTGTCAGCTTGAAGTTGTGACACGGTAGTTGAGATACTGCATGCAATAGAGTTGTTTTCTATGTATAGTACAGCAGGAA